GGGACGGGTAGGTTTAGGGATCAGGGGGTGGGGACGGTTAGGTTTAGGTACATGTAAGGTGGGAGGAGTTGGATCTTGATCCAACCACGCCCCCTGGATCTTGTGTTCTGCAGTGAGGACCATCTCTGTTTCTGGGTAGACACGGTTTTACTAGATGTTAGGAGCACCAGTATTTATTTTAATGTTAATTATTTTTGCGATACCACAGCTTTGGTAGCTACATTGTATCAAATGTAGTATTTCACCTTGTGAATATGACCCTGCATTACAACAGACAGCAACAGCTTTCAGATTGTCTGTGTGTGTGAACGGAGTTGTGTTTATGACACTTTTTAGATACTAATGTAGTCTAGATACTAATCTAAATTAGACACAAATTTTTAGTTACAAAATTGTGCGTGCATAGTCAATCGGACATTTTTTTTTTTGTAAGAATTTCTCTACTCCACTGTGTACTCCAACCCTCAATTTAAGCAAGGGTGGAGTTTTTGAAGAAGGTGTATATATTACATATCTGTGTGTGACATTTGACATTTATGAAGGTTTCCTATTTGTATGAATTCTTATGACTGACAGTAATAGACTGTATTTGAAGGAACAAGTGTACTGCAGTACATATGAATGCATTAGCTAAACTGTGTATTTTTTTTTACTGTGTGCCTTAATCATAGAGGCTAGTCAGAATGCTCTTGGACACTAATGTTACGACAGCATTAGCAGAATGACTGCTTCAGAGGGTGTGAAATTCAAAATTTTATCCACAGTCTCTAATGAACTGATCCCTGATTGCTTTATTGACCCTCTAATAGGTGTTTTTAAACGGAGTGTCATCAAACGACATTAGGGGGGAAATGAAATGTATCTTTTACCACAGATTTTAAGGCATAGTGCAATTGTACGTGATATTTTCTTGAATTTTTTTGTTTATATACAGTATTCATGCTTGTGTCTTATTTTAAGTTCTTAAATGATGTCACTTTTATGTTTTGGAACAAGACCAGTTGTTGAAAAGAAGTCATTTTGAGGCGTGGACTCACATTCTAGACATTGATCAACACTGTGTGGGCTTGAAAATGTTAAAAGACAATCACAAGAATGATTTTCTTCTTAATGAAGGACTCCGCATGAAAGTGCCGAAGTCAGTTTATTTTTCCTATTTTGAAAGCAATACTGTGTGCTTATGCTTTAATAATGTGTAAGAGCTTTCACTGTGCTTTGACTCTATGCTGAACTTCTCATTGGAAGATTTTAGCATCAAAATAATTCCCGATTTTGACCTTCTGGTTTGACTGTATTTTAAACTCACAAATCAAAAGTGTCACAAATCAAAAACAAGTGTTTCAAAAGGAACTAAGTTGACAATTTGAGGGTCAAATTTTGATAATGATTGTAGTCTTTCTTGCTGACATTTCCCGTATTCAAGAAAGCAATGTTTTATTCCATGTAACAGTGCTATAAATTTGTATTTTTGTATTTATAGAGTTGTGCATAGACTTACAAAATGCTAACTGTTTAAAATATTTGTGATGGCAATCTTTTCCTCAAATAAATTGATTTGGATGGACTGTTGATCTGTAAATGGGGAAAAAGCCTTACTGTGGTACAGGAATCCACTGCATAGAGTGCAGTTTTTACAATCACTAAGACCCATTTCACAATACTTGTGTCACTTTTTCAAAACTCTTTTTTTTTTTTTTCATTGCTTTGGCACAAAATACATTCAATGACTACATCTTTCAAATTACATGAATTCCTTTCTCACTCCGAAACAACAGCCACCAAAATTCTACGGGTATCTAGAGGCCTATTTGCATGTTTACATACTCTTTTCAAAAGTGTTAAATTTAAGTTAAAAACCAAAATCATAATTACTGAATAAGACAGAAATTCACTACATTTCTACAGTAATACAATATTAAAATGCACACACATACACGGGTATTAGTCTTTCAATTTTATTACCATCTAGACAAAACGGTACAACTTCGGAATAATTTTGTACCATAATGTTAACATGGATTTCTCATCCTTGTTTTGTAAATAAATTTTGCAAAAGAAAAACATTGTATAATGCTACTTGTCAGTGTTTTTAGGTATTTGTTTTAGGAATGACAAAGTGTTTTTTGGTTGATTCACTTGAAAAACTGTTAAGTGTTATGGAAGAATTCGTTTTGTTTTTTTTGAGTCATGGATGAAGTATTTTGGTAGTTTTAGTGCATTTTGGATGTCAAATTAATTGCTGTGTCGAGCTGAAAGTCGGCAACCCTGATGAAAAAAAAAGCATATGCTGGTTAGGTATGTTTTGAAGCATGGCAGCTGGTTTGAGCTGGTCCTTAGCTGGTCATGTGCTGGTCTTAAGCAACTAGCTCCTGCTCAGGACCAGCTTAGACCAGCTGCCATGCTTCAAAACATACCTAACCAGCATATGCTGGTTTTTTCAACAGGGAAGGAAAACTGTGTGACGAGTTTTGAAAAAGTGACCTTGAAGAAGTGTGGAGAAATGTGCCCCAGCGATCGTAAAACACTGTAAATTCAAATCTACTGAAATTCACATATCACTAACAAACTCTATATCCCATTTTTGCTCCTAACATTCAAAATAATTGGCAAAATTAAAATCTTTATTTGCTAAAAAATAAACAATACTACAACAATCGCACCAAAATGATTTATTGATGTGGCAGTCTGACAGTGCATCTTTCCAAAAGAGTCCTTAAAGCATATCCACTCTTCACAGAAACACTAGAAGGTGATGCCTGAGAATACTATAGTAAACCAGGCGACGCTCCCTTATGCACTACTGACGCTCACATTTATAATACAGGTTCAATAGCAGAGCAGTGCCACTTTAAGAATAGTACATCGCTAGGTGAGCATGATGAGTCTTTTTTGCAGTACTTTGGCAAGACGTTGGTTTTTCATTCAACATTACAAGACTAACGCCAATGTGTAGACCTGTGGAAATAAGACAGGTGACTGTGGCCAGCCAACCACCTGCTAATTTCATACATGATGTAAACTTATTTTGTTGCTACAAAACATTACAATTATTATTCCCAATACAGGGCTTCATCACCAAGTCATGCATCTTTTTTAAAAGACAATTTAAGAGAACATACACATACACACGCACACACAGCTTCCAAATATAGAAATAGAAAAAGACTCGTACATACTGTAAAAACTGAACTTAAAGGGTTAGTTCACCCAAAAATGAAAATTCTGTCATTAATTACTCATGCGGATATGCTGTTTCCGTTCAGATCAAATCAAAAACCCGTAGGAAACAGATCCGGCGTGACGCAGCTGACACAGAACAGCATACGCTGTTTACAGGGTGATGCGGAGGAGACGAATTGTTGAATAAAGTCGTTTTTTTTTTCTTTTGCGCACAAAAAGTATTCTCGTAGCTTCGTATAATTGCGGAAGAACCACTGATGTCACATGGATTATTTTACCGATCTCCTTGCTACGTTTCTGGACTTGGGAACATTTCAGTTGCGTTGCTGTCTATGCAGGGTCAGACAGCTCTCAATTCCATCAAAAATATCTTAATTTGTGTTCCGAAGATGAACAAAGGTCTTACGGGTTTGAAATGACATGAGGGTGAGTAATTAATGACAGAATTTTCATTTTTGGGTGAACTATCCCTTTAACACTATAAGTACACCTAAGCTGTAAGAGGCAGTACATAGTCATCACAAATGGTACAATACTGCCCTTCTTCCAAAAATCTATCAACAAGCTTGACTGATGTGAAGCTGCGTCCCTGGAATAATTCACAGCTTTGGGAAACTCAAATGAGAAAGGTTTAGATTGTATGGACGCATACAAAAATGACTGAAAACTCTATAGCTTCTATTATGTGATTTGAAATAGACTGCTTAACTCTAGTCACAAAAAGCATACCCAAAACAACAAACAATAAAAAAGTTATACCAAAGTCTGTTTTGCTTATCAGGCAATGTAGTGGTCACACACCAGGTTTTTGGACACAGGCACAGCTTTAGTCAGAGTCAGAGTCTGAGTCATCATCTGTGAGGAAGAAGAATGTGTTATTCTGGAAGAAAGAGTCTCTGAATAACCACAGAAAAGAGAAAATGAGATGGGGATGTCCCAGTGAAAATAATATGCCATGGAAGTTTAACGCATGTGACTATGCATGACAATTGCTAGGACTTTAGTTTGCTTGTAGCGAGACAATTCATAAATTTAAATGATACTGCAGGAGTTTAGTCTGCCTGGTCACTTACAGTAACTAGAAGAAAAGCTACACTGGTTGACTAAACCACACTTATAAGAAACCACATCACCTTTCACTTCCTATGTCTAGTCTCACTAATAGTTTTGCTGCTTTAGTTTGATGTGTAAAGCTTCATGCAAATATCCTGTGAATGAGACTCCAGCAGAGAAAAGAGAATATTTTCACATCTCAGGAGTTACATTACTGTTCAAAAGTTTGGGATCAGTAAGATTTTTTAATGTTTTTGAAATAAATCTCTTACACTGACCAAGGCTGCATTTATTTGATCAATGACATAGTAAAAACAGTAATATTGTAAAATATTATAACAATTTAAAATAACTCTTTTCAATTTTAATATATTTTAAAATGTAATTCATTAATGTGATGGCAAAGCTGAATTTTCAGCATTACTCCAATCTTCAGTGTCACATGATCCTTCAGAAATCATTCTATTATGCTGATTTGTCTCTGAAGAAGCATTTTGTATTATTATCAATTTTTTGAAAACAGATGTGACGCTTAATATTTTTGTAGAAACTGCAATATATATTTTTTCAGGATTATTTTGATGAATAGAAAGTTCAAAAGAACAGCATATATTTGATATAGAAATCTTTTTGTCAATATAAATGTCTTTACTGTCATGTTTGATCAATTTAATGCATGCTTGCTTGAATGGTAGTTTACAGTAAATAAGATCCCAGTATTGATACCTTGTGTGTTTGGT